CACTCTTCCATAGTTTTGTGTCATGTGACTAAAATGACAATTGTCCACATCTTGTCCATATTATTTCTTTTCATGGGAAGCAAGTCAAAAGGTATTAATGGTGTTGTTCTGATCAAGCTTTCTTTGCATACTTTCTAAAGTGTAAAAAAAAGTTTCTCTGTGAATTGTGTATTGTAAGTATAAAGCACACCCTGTGAATGACTAAATCAGCAAAGGTAATTTGCAAAATGTGTCAGTGTCATCTTCAGTAACAAACACAGCTGATGAGAGAAATATCTCAACAGCGTTTTTGCTTCAAAAACAATTTCCCAATTAAAAGGCAAGTTGTTTTTAAAATTTGTAGTCTATGACAGAGGAAACAAAACTTGGGTTTGCACATAACCTATAGCAGAATAACTAAAGGATGGTTTGGTCTGATCCAGTCCTAATTCTAAGATTTATCAGAAAGGAAAATTTTAAGCCTTAAAAGAAGCGTGGGTGGCTGTCTCCACAGAGGAGGGGCTGAAAGCTGGAAGCTTTGCATCCCATTCTACTTTTAGGAACCACAAGTAGGCCTGCTGATATTTTTTTTTTTTTTTTTTTTACTACTACTATAGAAATTCCAGTGTTTTTTTACAATGGGACCGCAGATAAACAAAAAGTAAAGTGGTCTCAATGTGGCCAACAATGAAAAATAAGTTTAACATCCTTACTAAAGGATTATCTAGGAGCTTTTAGAGCAACTTGATAAAAAGGAATTGCAAAAGTGTGGTTTAGAAATAACAAATGCTCACATTTGTTTTCCTGCTGCATCATTCTGGGACAGGATGTTTAGCAATACTGTGCAGAAGAAAAAAGACATCAGAAACATTTGTTAATGTGGACGCTGAAGGACAGATCCTGGTCAAAGGGGAGTCTAATGTTCTCACTGTGTTATTGGAGGCCAAGCAGACACTGTGTTTCTTAGAATCACTTATGTCTGATTTTAGAAGTACAACATTGCATTCCAGATAATAAGTAAAAGTTTAATTGGTCCCATTTAAAGAGATGTTAGCACATTAGCATAAATGATAGCTTTGCTGGCAAATGTGACTCAAGTGTTTTGTGGGTTTTTTTCACTAATTTTTGAAGATTGAAATTAAATTTCTCTTTTTACCTTTTTAACATCAAAAGATTTTTTGACCAAGTGAAGAAATTAAATAAAGATGTTCCAGTAATATTTGTTAGGAAAGCACTGAACTTCCCTGTGTGACTGCGAGGCATGTCGGCCCACCTGTCAATGTACGGACGAATAGGCTAGCATTGCCGTGTTGATCTGGCAGCCATCCACCTTGGCGGTCTGACTGCAGAAAAATCACAGATTGGTGAATGTTTTCACCGAAGCTATAATGTCCCACATGAGGCAGTGTTTTGCTTTCTTTGCTCTGTGTATATGTGTGTGTTTGTGTGCGCACACAGTCTCCCTCTCTCCCCGGTGGTGCTGGGGTGTTTGGCAGGATAAATATAGCTGCGTTGGTGTAAAGCTGTTTTCTCCTCGGCTTTTGTAGCTTTAATCAAAAGCAATCTGGAGGAGGGAGGAATGGAAGGGAAAGTGGTGGGGTGAGGGAGCGGGAGGGAGGGAGGAGGAAGAGGAGCGAGAGAGATGGTAAGAAGAAGAGTCGGGAAAGCGGGGTGATGCCAGAGTGTTTTATTTTAGCTCTCTTTAAAGAGTCATTGGGGAGTGCTCAGGAGTAATGAGAACCCTGGTGGCTGGAGGAGTGGGACCGGCTCTAACCTCCACTCACCCTCCTCCTCCTCCTCCATCCACTCACTGTCTCTTTATTTCCCGCCCAGCCTCACTTCCTCTGTCATCTCCTTCTTCCTCATTCTGGCTCTCATATCACTTTGAGTAAGGCTACATTCACACTGCGAGCCGTCCTTGCTTCTCTCTGCCTTTCTATTCTGGGCTGTAGCCCACACCTCTTATCAATATGAGCTGATGGTGGTGAAGAATGTGCACAGAGAAACTGTTGTTTTTAAGAGCAGCCGCCATGTAGCAGAGCAGAAGAACAGAGCCCTCTGTTAGTTTTGTTAGTGATCTTTTGAGTAAAGTTTACTGTAACAAGCTGCTGTGATGCCCTGGCGACCTGTCCAGTGACAGCTGGGATAAGCTCCAGCCCACCCCACCCGCAGCTCTTAACTGGATAAGCAGTTAAGAAAATGAATGGGTGGATGGATGTTACCAGCTGGTGCTGTGCTCAATTTTTGACAAATCTATTTAGGCTAAAGCTGAAGCTCCAAAGATATTACATTTGCCTTTTCTCAGCTTGCTTCTTTTTCATTTTATTTTTTAAGAAAAAAGCAATGATAGAAAAACTATTCAGAAAATTCTGATCTCTCCACATTTAGCAGCGAAAGCAAGAAAGGTGAGTAAATGGTAAATGGACTGGTTCTTATATAGCGCTTTTCTACTCTTCTGAGCACTCAAAACGCTTTACACAACTTGTGCATTCACCCATTCACACCCATTCCAGATGCTTTCTAACTGACATTCACACACTCCGATGAATGCATCGGAGAGCAATTTCGGGTTAGTATCTTGCCCAAGGATATTTGGCATGCAGACTAGGAGAAGCCAGGAATCGAACCACCAACCTTCCGATCAGTAGATGACCTGCTCTACCACCTGAGCTACAGCCACAGCCACCCTACTGACACTTGGTATCAATAGGGTGATGAGGTGATGAGTCAGATGTACAAAAATGTACAAAAACTTTTTCCAATTTTGATGCTGATACCAAAATACCATGCAGATACCAAGTGTCAGTCCTATAGCACTGTTAAGTAATTATGTGTTAAGCAACATCAGGCTTTAGTTACACTGTTATACTGTTTTTGCAACTTTCTAAGGTAAAATGAATATGTCCAGGTATAAATGTGTATTGCTCTGGTATTCATTTATAAAATAATAAATGCCAACTGGATCGAAATAAATCAAGTGTTAATCTTTTTCACCTAATTTATTTGAAAAGGTCTTAGTGTGAGAGACTTTACTGTTTACTGCTGTTATTTACAGACAGGGTGCTTTCCCTGTTCTCACTGTGTGAACACCTCCTCATCTGAGCTCGTGGAGTGGAGCTGACAAGAGTCACTGATGACACCTTATGTTACCATAATAACGCAAAATCTAAATCTAAGTATTAGACCAAAATGAAAGAGAAGCCAGCATGAAAAAGAATTGTGTACTCCTGAGCTTTTCACTTGACCACAAAAAACGACTGCAAGCTCTGCAGATGTAGAAAGAAAAGCTACAGTAGCAGGTATGAAATACCTCCAAAGTGTTATGAGTGAAGACTGCTGGCGTGTTGGTATAGTAAACACAGAACAAAATAGAACTGAATTGAATACTTCAACACCATAGGTTGACTCATCTTCACAATCCCTCATCTAGCTTCTTTGGATCAATAGCTAAATATTGATTATCCTGGTCTGAAGTTTAGATTCTTTGAAGTCTTAGAAATATAGTCAAAAGAAGACGGTTGAAGATAGTGGATACATGGAAAGCTGAAGTTGGGGAGAGCAACAGAAAGACCAAGTCCAGAACAGACACTGAATAGGTTTTCAAGTTTTTTGCTATATGCACAGTGGAAAACATGTTGCCCTGTAAGATCTTTTTTCTTTGCTATCCACAACAAATGCAGAAAAACATATAAACATATAAAATAGCTACACAGAAGAAATGATCATTAAAGACAATTTAAAAAACAACTATAAACCCAGCATATATAGTCAAAAACATGATAAATAGGAAACGCTAGCATGGTGGTGGGTTGCATCCATCTTTAATATACAGTCTATAGAAGTGACTAGTCAGTCACTCAGTAGGCCTCAGTAGACCTGTCCTAAAGCTTTTCAGCTTTAATGGGGACCTCGGTGCACAAAATGAACATTATGTTGTCCTCAACAAGACTTTAAACTAGAGCAAGACCATAAGGTGTTTACTGAGGTTACAGTCCAAGGTAGCTGAAAGCTTCTAGTCATGCTTCTTTTTGAAACCAGAGTCGCCGCCTGATGGCCATTAGAAAGAAATGCAGGTTTAAGGCATTAGCTGCACAGCACAAGAGGACCGGAGAGGGGAAAAGTGTCATCTTATACTTGATGCCATTTCTTTAACGTAGTGATTACAGTCTGTTCATAGAATGAATGCAGTATCTAACAGCAGCTGAGTAGTGGAAACTGGCGTCAAAGGCTTCTTTGATGCTTTGTTTGGAGCCAAGTCTGAGTGTGCCACATACTGTACATGGTACAAAGTCTGTTGGTCGCTTGAAACTGAATTAGCTGTCACTGTCAAAAAGGGTTAACATCAAGTAATCACTACATCCCGAAGTGGTTATGCAATTCACTCAGCTGTGTGGGTCTGATGCGTGTGTCACGTGTCTGCGTTTGGACTCACTCTTTGCCGTAGTGCATCAGCACAGCCAATGTATAGTCAGTGTGCATATGTGTGATGGGACAAATAGAAGGAAAGAAGACAGGAGATATCAGTTTGGCAGCGACTTGAGTGTCCTTTCATTATCCAGTTGGCTTTGTGTTCCTCATTTGGAGGCCAAGAGCGGCCCACAGTGGAAGCAAAGCTGCTCCCTGCTATAACTGCCTTGATGTTGATCTTAAAAAGCTTCCATAAAAACCTTTTTCTGGGCAGCAGAGCAGCTCTTTAGGAAGTGCATTGTTCCATTTCCTGTTTGACAGTCACAGCCGTGCCTCAGATTAGTGCTTGGCAAAATACTTGGCTGAGATGATTTCTACTAACTGCAGTAAAGAATATTTCCTTTCTCTTCGACACCTTATTGTGATACTAATGTGAAAAGCGTTCAGCTCCTCATCACTACTTCACTGTCGTGTTATGCAAGTATATGTCATATATTATCTGATCTGTTTGTGCAGAACCTCTGTGATGACAGCTTGTTGGCAGATTAGCTGATAAAGATGCATGTGTCGTATGGCTGTTATTGTAATCCCCACCCGTGCTCCTTCTATCTTAGGTGATCTGGGTGTGCAATAACTGCCGAAAGCAGCAGGAGATTCTGACCAAGCCAGGGGAGTGGTTCACCGGGCCCCCCGGGAAGCCCGCTGGCCTCGGTTCAGCCGTCAGCGAGCCATCAGTGTGCCAAGCTCCCGGGGATAAGAAGCTCAGATCTCGCTCCCAAGCACCACCGGGGTCCACCACTGCAATCTACGACCCCAACCGACCGAGCGCACCTGGGACCGCGCCTGGCACTGATGCTCGGTCGCTCAGTGAACCACCACGAGACACGTAAGGCGGAGCTATAAAGTAGAACCCGTGTTTCTGTGGCAAAATGCATATGCAGACATGGGCAAACAAAAGGCATATTTTATTCTTTTACCTCATGGGTGCGACGAACATCACTGAAAAAGTGTGAAATGTTCAATGTTAAAATATAAAGGAGAGTAATTTGCTGACAAAGTTTTTTTTTAATGCTGTTGTGGTCACAAGTTGTTTTTCCAAATGATTGATTTAATCTCTTTAAAAAATAAGAATTGGCTGCACAACTTTGCATTTATTTTGGATTTTCTCAAATGAACATGGGGTCAAAGTAGACTTACAGGTTTAATTATATGCATGTTGTCCCTCAACCACATACTTTTGCTAGCCATCAATAAGCTTCTGACTTAATTCTGCATATTTGACCACTCATCTTGGCAGAATTGATATTTTTTACTCAAATTGGTTGGTTTCCTGGGATGAACCCAGCTTTGAAATGTAGTCCACATTCAGATTGGGGTGGTGGGAATTCCACACACTTAATATGACCCTGTTTAACCATTACAAAACCACTTGTGATGTGTGTTTGGGATCATTGTCCTGTTGGAACACCCAATTGTGTTTCAACCATCCAGCTGTTGATCTGTGGGGAAGTTGAAGAATTTGGAGGTAGTTCTTGTTCTTCATTATTCACTTTTACAGTGGACTACTATTGCTAGCCCAGAGCACAACACTACCATCACCATGCTTGGCTGCTGGTACAGTTTCTTTTAGCTCTGAAAGGCTCGCTTTTACTCCTCCAAACATACCTCTTGTCATTGTGGTTAGTAGCTTGAATTTGTCTGACCATAAAACCTTTCAGGCATTTGACTTGTTCATGTGGCAGCACACTTTCCATTTGTGTATTGGTCAGTCCAAATACTCCAAATACCAAAACAAATACTCGTCATGCTGGAAAGAGAAACTACCAGTTGTAATCAATAATTTTTTATGCATGAATCATGTAATTGAGACTGTGTGTATAATTTAGATCTTTTGTGGATTAGCGAAAATAATAATAATAATAATAATAATAATAATAATAGTAATAATAATAATGTGCACCCAGTTCTTGTTTTATAAAGTAATTAAGGATGTATGCTGTATGATTTTTTTCTACCCCTGAAAAAGAACAATTAATTAAACATAATTAAAAGTCCAATATTCCCATTAAGTGTCCATGCCCATGATGAGTCTATGTGCACCTCTGGTCTCAATTTTATACATTTCCTCTGTTTGCAGCAACATGTGCATTTAATATCTGTGCTGGTACCCTGTGGATTTTATGGTAGCATGCAGATACAGAGATGAAGATCAATGTGTAAAATTGCTGCCACATTTACATAATGAGGTGACAAGAGCTCAATACTCAAAAAACTCCCACACAGAATGTGATCAATCCATCTAAGGCCTGAGTACTGTGAAGGCAACAGCATATGATTCACCCTTAATTTGTCACCCTCTGATACTGTGACTCAGTAATGGAGGGATCCACCTTAATTTGAAAAATGAGAAGGTGCTGCACGCGCTGGAGTTACTCTGGAGTGATGGTACTCTCTTTCAGATCATATCACTTCCAAAGACAATGACCACTAACATCGCTGCATTAGGTTGTTTTGAGGAATAATAAAAAAAGAAAAACAAACAAACACGTAAAGCAAGTAAAATATACTGTTGGTGTTTATCCTTTCCCAATGTTTACTGACAATATTTTCTGGGACATCATCTCCCAAGCCAGAGCTGGTGCTGACAGAACAATAAAAACTACACTGTAAAAAGACAGATGTTGACATTGTTTACATGAACAGCAGTGGGTCCACTCAAATCCTCCTGTAACACCAGGAATATTTCTCATATTATTGCAATAAACAGCAAAAACATGTGCTTTTGTTTTCTTTAAAAATATAAAACCCAATTGATTTACAGCCTTTTTGGTTAAGAAGACATGTGATCAGATACCTGCACTGAAAAAAAATCAATTTAAAAATAACATGTTCATATAGCTACATGAAATTTAGCAGAGACATGTTAATGTTACATAATGTATTACTCCTTCATGGAGCTTTGCAGATCCTCAACTAGATCTTAGAGTTGTCACTAGGGGGCAGAGTGGAGTGGAGAAGACAGGAGTCGTATTATGCAAAGAATCTTTGTAATGAGGTGAAGCCAGCTAGGATAGGCTCCAGCCACCCCACAACCCTGATAAGGATAAGCGGAGGAGAATGCATAGATGAGGTGAAGCCAAATGTTATTTATTATCAAAAGTGTCCATGACAGTCATTCTCTATATTTCTTATAACTTTCTCATTTGTTTTCTTCTTCTTCATGGTGATCTCTGCTGTTGATCCTTTTCCGTTCTCCACCAGTCAGTCTCTGACCTATTTATATTGTCATCACCATCACACCCCTGGCTTCCAAGAGCACTGCACATAAGCGCATGTCTGCAAACAGGCATCATCACACAACCATAAATCCCACATCAGATGTGTGGAAAGGACGGCCAGCCAATGGTTATTCAATGTCCAAATGTTTGCTTTGTGTTTATTGCACTAATGGCATTTCAGCACTCCCTTTATGTATAGCTGGAGAACTAGCAATACATACATACAATACATTTTTTAAAAGACAGAGCCAAAGATATCTTGATTTTTTACTCTATTAGTTCTGACCTCTGCTAGTTCCATAATTTGGGATTTGTGGGGTTCACTGATTAATACTGCTTTTCTTGAGATGCTCCTCTTCAAGAGCCACGTTTTTCAAAAGAACCACAATGTACTGGTAGCCATCAATTCCTGGATTCACCAGATAATTGAACTTCATAAACCTCCTCAAGAGCAAGTGAAATGTGTAAAATTGTTAAAAAGTGCCCATTTTATCTTGTGTTGTCTCAGCCAGCAGAAAGAAAGCAGTCCTAATGCTTGTGTTATTGAGCACCATCTCCCACATTCCTCATTTGCTTCCATTATACAATGATGGATTATGCCTCTTAGCATTGTTTCCTATGCCATTCATTGTAATGGAAGAATGAGGCTACTTCCAGCACACTTAATAGTAGAACGAGTTTTCACTTGTGACATTCTATTAGTGGACACTAATGTTAACAATGAAATGGTAACAGATGCAAATCACACCAGTGGCATTTGTCACACATGGCTTAAGTGGATACATTGTATAAGCAGAAGCTAAAAGCAGCCACATACATTAACCAAAGTCTTCCACCCTCCACGTGCTGTCACAGCTGTCTGTGATGCTCGGTTTGTGACTCACTTTCCGCCAAATGAATCATATAGCTACTCATTGAAGAGCCTTCTTACGCGCACATGTGATGATTTATTGTTAACTCAATGGGAACAGAAAACTTCGGAATTTCAGATTGTCTGACAAAACACCCTATCGCCGACTTGTTAAGTGATGATGTAATGCCCTGTGACACCCCGAGTGACAGATACTGATTTACAGGTTAATTATTATTGGCACTGAAGGCTAAAACAATGAGATGATTCAGTTTGCATTAACCTGTGTAACATTGTCACTCACACGTTGCCGTTGTAAGCTTCCTGCTGAACAGTTCTCTAACCAAACCAGTATCTTGTCTGACATCACCCCTCATCTGTATACTTTCCCTCCTCAGGAGGAATGGACGGGGTGGAGGAGCTGGTCGGGGAGAGCGGCGGCAAGGCCAGCCCAGGCTGAAGACCCAAGTCTCCATGGACCGGGACCTCAGGGGGGAGTCTAGGGAACGCAGGGAAAGTCGGCGCCTGACAAAGGGACGTTCTCTGGAGCACGATCCTGTGGGAGGTGTTGGAGTAAGACGGACAGAAGAGGGGGATTACCATCACATGGACCACACCGGTGCGCCCCCTCGACAAGCAGGGCCCGTCCCTCCTGGAGGCAGGGGCCATTCTGTGCCCGGGCAGGGTCGAGGCACAGGCGTAGGGGGAGGTGAGGTCGGGGACGGTGCCCGACCTGGACAGAGGACAGCGGGTGGGGTAGGTGGGCTGCATGAACATGCTCTTTCACAGCAAGCCCCTCCCCCTGAACTCAGAGAACCTCCTGATTCAGGTCCTGGCTCAGCCCCGGGCCAGGGACCCTCAGTGAAACGGACCAAACGGGACAAAGCTGAGAGCATGCTGCGCAACGATTCGCTAAGCTCTGATCAATCGGAATCTCTGCGTCCGCCACCGCCGCGGCCCTACAAGTCAAAACGAGGGCAGGGGGCCGGAGGGAAGAGACAAACGAGCGTCAGTAGTTCAGAGGAGGAGGGCGGGACCACGCCTGAGTACAGCAGCTGTGAGGATGCCGAGATTGAAAGTGTCAGCGAGAGAGGTGAGAGAATATCCATCATTACCTTCTGTTCATGAAGAAACTGTGGCATATATTGATATCTGTCTGGTCATTTGTTTGTTTATCCGTCCATTCAATTACACGAGATATTTATTTTGACAGAAGATGAGGAAATGATCCACCCTACCCTTTGTTTATGGCATCTTAAGTCAGAGCGGTACATTAGCCTTGTTCTTCAAGCGACAACATTTTTGATTTAGATTTTAAAACCAAAATCTCTGTTTTAATGTGTTTTTTTGCTGTGAACTATCATCAACCAGGAAGACAATATAATATAAAGGATGGAAATTTATAGTCATGCAAAATAATAAAACATTTTAGTAAGCAAGATGTAAGTTAAGATCAAATAAATAAAATAAGATGATCATTCATTTTCAATTATTTAAAAAAATCCAGCTTTTTAAAAATTGCCTTTCACAATAAAAGTGTGTATTATAAGCCTGACGGACTGCCAACTTAAGGACCGGTGATTTTTTCCTTTAATACAAAAGCTTTGAGCTAGCGCATGTATTTTATTAGCCTGCTGTTATTATTATGTTTTGCATATATAAAATCAGCTGGAAAGTCCATAAAGACCTCTAAAGATTACCACATAAAGATTACAACTTATTCTTATTCCTATATTCTTTTACTTTCTTAGCTCACATTCATCCACTGATTTTGGATTACCATCGGTTAGAATATTTGGAATGAACATAAACCTTCATTTAGTGCTTTCTCTCTTGTAAAGAGTTTACTGCTGGACTGTAGCTATACTAAGTAACATGTGAAGCAATTACTTAAAAAAAAAAAAAACTAGATCCCTATGGACAACCCAGAGTGAGATCCCTGGAGGACATTGTGTTAATGTTATATTATTTTTTATTATATTCCAGTCTCCAGGGCACCCACTAGACTGTGTGGGTCTTTAGCATTAGGCACATAAAAATCCCCACCCTACCAACAGAATTTATTTCACATCATGCATTTCATTGTATTGGTGCTGCACTTACAGGGTGTATGTTTGAACGCTCCCATCTGACCAATATATTATGGGAAATGAATTTAAGAAGTGCAGACAGTTGTTCAGTTTCCATCTGTGATCCTCACTTGCACTGTGTCAGTCTGCGAGGCTACAAACGTTTCGCTTCTTTAACACCGTGTGCTCGCTGATCACAGGTGAGGCGACTCTGATGTAACCTCCTGATTTGGAGAAGCACTGCTCGTTTATCAGGTTTTTTTTATAATGCTTAGTGAAGCGCTAAAACCTCATGTGTTACACACCAAACGGCTTGAGAACAAGCTTTGCAAAGGCAACATTTGAGAGGTGTGGTCTGGCTGCGCCTGCAGAAACGTGGCACGTCCTGCGACATTCTCTAATGTTTTGTGTGCCGTGCATGCAGCAGGCTGTAGCCGGCAGTCCGGGTTGTCAAAATGAGCAGCTACCCAATAAACTGCCATGCACGTTAACAAGTGTGTGTATCTGAACGTTTTCCTGTGTGTCATATTGTATTGTTTTCAGCTTGGCCCTGAGGGAGGACAATCCCACACTGAGCACACATGTACGTGTGTGCGTGTAGTGTGTTTGTGATGGGGGCAGTTTGACCCCAGTTAATCCCAGGCTTGACCTTCTGTGGCTTTGCATAGCCAACTATGTCCCCAAGCCTGAGCACACACAACTGTTTACACTCTAACCTTGTCATGTCCAAGCTGGGTTATGTCACTTCACTACTAACCATTCCAAGGCATTTGGACTCGCTGCTATGTATCCGACTGTGTTAAAAATAATACAAGCCATAAATAAATATACACAGCTGGAAGGAAGTCATATTTTTCACTGTTTAGCAGCTTGTAACCAGTGCTACAAAAGCATTGCTTGAGTTAAATATGACCAGTCTCATATTTCAGAGCTGCTGTTTTTCTATCACTTCCTGGGAGTCCCATTCTTGCCACTTGTCCTGTGGGCTCTGTCGTTTCAAAATGCATCAAGAAATTTGCATAGAGAGCAAACTCCTCTCACAAACGTACCTGAATTTTAGTCCAGAGGATCGTAGCTGGTGATGAGAGTTGGGTCCTTAGGTAGTTAGTAGCTAGTCATAAATAGCAGTTAGATAGCAGTTTGACCCTTTGAGACATGTACTGTAACAGCAAGCTTAAGTAATGTCATTCAGCTAAGTGATAACGTAAGGATACATGGATTTTCTAAAAAGGTTTTTGGGCCTTTAAAGATCACTCGTGACTCTTAGAGTTCACCTCTCTTTTCCTCATCTCATCTAATAATAATTAACAGAACCCAACAATCACACTGATTGTATTCTCATGCTACATTCAATTTTATTTTCACTGGAAACCAACAAAAGTGTGGAGCATTCTGTGGAGCAAAGGGTAGAGCGCCAGCCTGGACCCACACCAGCCGCTGTGACATTCATCATGTGGAGGTTTAAGATGAGAGTGTGCTGTCAGGCCAGGTTTTAAACACATTGGTGTGGCAGCAATTCGCTGCTTCCTTTTTTAGCTCGAGACTGAGACCAGGTCAGCGCCAAGATGTGGTTGCTGGCAGCTAAGGAGCATCCAGGCATGTAAATCATTGTAAATTCGGGGCACAGTAGATCTGTGCAAGTATTGTCCTACATACAAACATGCGCTACCAACTCACACTCTCAATGGAAGAAAGGGAAACATGATACAAACACTTGAGAATTCTGTCAGGCAGTATTTAATCTATTGCATTTTAGATTAATTGGTTTTACTTGGATTTTATAGAGATGTAAATAAAGGCAGACTTATTGATTATAGTCGAGTTTGCCAGATAAAATAACTGATGCTGGCAGGTTTTATCAGCTACAGTTAAAAGCTAACTAATAGTTACTCTGTGTGCTGGTGTTCCACTAGTCTTGTTATAAACGTGAACCTTGTGAAAAGGTCCTTTATGTACTCAATGTCTGCATGTAGTGTCCTTGTACCAGGCACCAGACAGAAATAAACTAACAGCCCCTTTGCTGTAGAGCTAGCTAGCCCTGTGTAAGATGTAGGCTAAGATAAACAAGTAAAGTCATGTTCTAGCATAACTTGTTTAGCATAGATACGTATTTGTGTTTTTGAAAATGTAATCTGTTTAAACAGTAGCCTTTTAGGGCTACAAAATTAAAAAGGAGTTTTGTCTCTTTGTCGTTAAACTTAAATGGAGTTACTGAAGTGTAGAGCTAAAATTAGCTTCAGTTCCGACGCAGCCAGAAGTTAAAAAAAGAATTTTTAACCACATGATCACGGATTCGTTTAAATTACTACATATTGGTAAATGTAAGAGAATTTCTTTTATCTTTCTGTGTTTAATAACCTTTAACAGGTACTGATAAATGCACAACATTGGTACTTGTTTGATTTTTACTGACTTTTGACTGATAGGGTAAGTACTGTCAAGTAGTTGGTACTTGACATAAACAGTCATAAACAATAGATGGTACTCATACAGTGTAGGGTATTTCCATGTTATGTATTCAGAATACGTTAGAGTAACGTATTCTGAGTACTTTGGATTACTTAATATATTATCATGCTTTTTACAACTACATGAATGTACTATTTCTGTGTGATTTATTACTATTAAGGTTACTCGCCATACCAATACCAACTAGATTTTTAAATCTTAATATAAAATGAGTAACAGTAGGGTGGACATTAGGTAAGGCTGCACTTTTTGCAGCGATCTCGTATAGGAAACTATTCCGCGTGTATATAAAACAGGTCCGCAGCTCTGAACAGTAGTAAAGGGACTTCTGAGTGATACATTGGATTCTGTGTCGGGCTCGTAGCCGAAAACTAGCTTTACTTTGTTGTCTGGGTCAACTTTGCTAGCGAGAGACAGAGAGAGGCTGCTCCAACTGAACTTATTGTTTCGAGTCCTCAAGTGGCCATCTGGGTCTCTCTTCAAAAGCAAGGCAATCTCTAATCCTTACTCCATACAAATGTAAAAAAGTAATTATAACTTACTATTAGAGGGTGTATCTGTATCCCTGTGTTGGTGTTGTTCTTGTATTTTCGTAATAATGTTTGTCCATGATCAGCATTACAACTGACCAATCACGTTGTTGTGATGTTATAGCATCGCAATAAAAAAAGCCTGTGGTTATGTAAAACTTTCTTCTGGAATAAATGGTAAGCATTGCAAGTGTTTTCTTTATTAATTTATGCAACATAATAAATATGTTATTAAGTTAGGTTTGTTGTTTTAGGCAAATTTAGGCTACTCATGTTGGTTTGCTAGTGATAGTTAAAAAGAATTGGCTGACTCCTGCTAGCTGAATGCTCAGAAAATGTAATTGCTGAGTTGTAATACTGATCCTGGACCAATTAATGCTCTATTAGAGATAGTAAGCTAGCTAGCCGTGCATGGTAACACTTGCAGCTTCCAAATGCTTTTGCTCCTCTTTGTTTGGTTTTAAGAACACTGTAAAAACAAAATGCCAAAGTCTTGTTGAGCTGTGACCGGATAAATTCGGTTCCCGTGGTTTTGGTCAAAGTGCAGGTTCTTCTTTATAGAGAATACATTTTATTTAGGCCATGTGGCCAAGGCTTTTCCTGCATAAGCAAAGAATTTTTAGCCACAGTCAAGGTAAAATCACCAGAAATGTCATAAAATTAACACACGGTAACTATTTGCCTGTTAATTTCATGGACAAACCTTATGTGTGGATTCACCCTCCACAAAGGTTCCTTGTAGGCCATGAAACATTGATGGGTTTCTGTAAATATTCTATTATTAAGATCGTAAAGGTTTATTTTTAAAGGGCTTATTTCACACTGACTCTTTTAGGAAACGTGAAAAATATTATTTGTTGTTAAAGTCCCATTCCAAGTTGTGTTCAAAACCGTGTCCTGAGCCCGTAGTGGAGTTTTCTCTTTCTTTGTTGCCATTAAAAGTGCCGAAACACAAAAACAATACACACTCGCAGCCATGTGGCTCACCCACTGCATGAAACTATGTTCACGCTCAAATTATGAAACTAAGAACTGGGTTGAGCATTTGCTTTAAGATTACATAATATCACTATAAGTTGTCCCAAGCCATTAACCTCATAGCTTCCCCGGCTCCTAGGAATGCTCGGCTCTGTTTTACTCTGTGTCATAACAGTGTCGTCCAGGTCCTGCGCACAGTGCAGCACTGCCCTGCAGCCCGTGTGTACAGGCTTTGGATTTTGGTCTACGTCACGAGCTAGAGCTAAACACAGTCTTAGGAATAAATTAATAATTAATTAATAGAAAAGGAGATTGGGCATTTCAGGCAGTGGCACCGAGGTTGTGGAATTCTCTTCCACTGTCTTTATGTTGTATAGCCTCCATTAACTCCATCACAAAGCAGCTGAGCCCATGTTTATACAGACTATGTTTTATTCTGTGGCTTTAAATTGTTATGATATGTTATGCTTTTATTTCTTGTGTTTTATTGTGAAGCACTTTATGGCTTTTTATCTGTGAAAAGTGCTATAAAATTCCTTTTTAACCTACTCACTCGCTGATTTTTGGTTCAAAGTTACTTTTGTAATTATTATCCACAAAGTATAAGAAAAACCCAGCTGCCTTTCCTGATATTTATTTTTAGCCCTTTTCTTAAAGAGGTTTTGCCTTAGGAAGCTACCACTGTAAATCTGAATATGTAAATGACTTGCCTGCGTAAACAAGGGTGACGCTGACGTGCTACGTCTACTTGTGGTATAGATAAAAGTATGGCTGAGCCTAGTTTGATTTCAGCTGATATCTCTTCAACAAAATATATCGATTTTTTGGGGCATAAAGCTATGTCGGTTATTTTTCTAAAACCTGTTGATGCCTTAGATTTGTTTTGGAAGATTTATAAATTTATTTACAAAAAATGACCTTTAAAGTCTGTGCTTATTAATTTGAAATAACATTTTGCATTTCAGTTTTAAGTGATTCTGCAATTTACATTTTAAAGACACAAAGAAAACATTAATCATTAATTACTCATTTTAATAACTTTATTCTTACTTTTGTGCTCAGTTTCTTGCACTGTATACTTTTGAAAAGCACTTGAATGAATATTTAAATAGCTTTAATTTTAGCATTTATTTAGCTCACTTTTGTCAAGTTCCATAACGATATCTTTGCATTTAACCCTCAATGTCTCGTGTATCATGTTTGATACATACAGGTTTTGAGAGTTTTTAAGACTACATCAGTTCATGTCAGTTTTTATTATACAGCACCAAATCATAGCAACATTTTCTAAGGCATAGACCTGCAATCATATAAAGACAACAGAGGACAGACCAACAATTGTATGACCCCCTCTGAGCAAGCACTTTGGCGACAGTGGGAAGGAAAAACTCCCCTTTAACAGGAAGAAACCTCCAGCAGAACCAGGTGCACGCAAGGGTGGTTCATCTGCTGCGACCGGTTGGACTCCCCAGAAAAAAAAGTAAATTGCACGATACATTTTTAAGCAATAAATTGCAAAAAATTTTGGGTGTAGAAAAAGTGCAAAATATGTGCAAATAATATTTAATTTTTATAATTTTGTCAGAACGGTCAATAAATGCTCCATGTTAAAAGACAATAGAACTTTCTAGAAATTATTTTGTGACTTAGACTTTAACAATATTAACTTTTATGATGTATAGCAGCTTTAAAACTGATCGTTAGTATTATTATCACTTAATAAGTGAATCAATTTAGTGGTTATCAAAACATATTTATTAACACATATAATTTATTACCACATATCTATATTTGTTTCATTGGCTCAACCTATGCCCGATACCTAAATAATGTGAGAAAATATCTGTTATTGACACGCTTGTGCTTGTATTTGGCCTTACATTGTGGCATTACCCCTGGAGGAGATCAATAACACCTAATCTCTGAAGTGTCTTGGATGGATTTAAAGCGTTTTAAAAGGCTTAACCATCCGTTGGTGTCATCGCTGCCTCAGTGGAAAACTTTTTAGGCCACCTGCTGCCGTGGTGATACATTTCTAATTCCAGCCCAGGCTTGAATTTTCAATAAACTTAAGCCTCCCCATTGTAAACAAGTACCTCCTGAAGAGCCCCCAAATTTGGCTGAGCTGTGTGTGTGAGGACTCCTGGTATGTGCTGTGTATACAGGGTGTGTGTGTGTGTGTGTGTGTGTGTGTGTGTGTGTGTGTGTGTGTGTGTGTGTGTGTGTGTGTGTGTGTGTGTGTGCGCGCGAAGAAGAAGAAGGAGATATAAGGGAGGTTATTGTTTCCCCTGCGACTTCCACATCTATCCAGCTGATCTGATCTCTCTTCTCTTGCAGGCGACTGGGAATGCTACCCACATGACCCCACTGTGTGGCATGTAAGTCAGTGTTTTTCCTTCTGATTAATATTTTTTCATACATTAAAGCTAGTTTTGAGAATCAGCATGAAGTTGTTCAGGTGTTATTGTTGTATTTTAATTAAAGTCCCAAGTGTGTAAACATTTATGTGGATGTACTGGAGTACCAAATAGTGCCAAATGGAGTGTTTGTCTCTTTTCAGTCTGATCCTCCTGTCTTACCACAAAGTTTGTTTTTTCAATTTTTCTGAAGAATCTATTAATGTAAAACACATGATGTCTTATGGTTATTGACTATGGTTACTTTACTGTTGTGAAGTACATGGATAGTATGTTTATGTTGTTAAAGACTGTGGTGGTGACCATTGACTTAAAAACCCTGGTTTAAAATCAATCATTGTGGGCTGAGTCTAGAGAGGTCATGTTATATATGGTACATATCCATGCCAAAACAATGATGCTATAATTACAAAGGCAGATACTGACTTTGAATTATTTGAATTAATACACTCAGCTCAGCTGTCTGATCTGGACTGTGTGGCAGCTAACTGAGAGTGATAAATAATTTATGAAGTTTTAAATAGTCCAATATGGGCTTACAGCTCTTGTTATGGTACCTAAAATTATTAAAACATTAAGTGTAGCATGATTTCTTCTTGTACCTGTGGGAGCGTTACACTCATTATCTTTATAGCTGCACTGCAATGAGTCAGTCCTGCTGTATCGAGGCTTCTTAGAGCAGAGCTAAATGCAGTCTGTGTACTGTGGCCAGTAGAAGTCCAGTCAGTAAGATAAAAATCCAAAAGAAATCCTGGTTTATCAGAGCTTGCATCTTTTACAGCTACAGTATAGACAGAAATTCAGCCTGTTACAAAAATAAGGCAAAACGTATGCTTCCTGTTTTGGATTTTGGAGTGGCCTTCAAGCCTTGTCCATTAAACACTTATCAGTGTAGTACATGAATCCAGAATGAAAATTGGTAATCAAAGTTTTTAAAAATGAAAATAAAAAACTGATTTCAGTCTCACAGTTTTACAGTAAGTACTGAGTTGAAGCTAGGAGGTAATTATCTTGGTTAAGCTTACCAATCAGACCTTAGCTCTAGGAGTAGTATCCACTTTTCTCTTAGAAACAACTTTTAGGAAACAAGACTTTTGTGCACTTAAAATTTGAATTGAAAAGCCAGATCCTATGTCTTTTAAAGCTACCTCTGTAATCAGTTAAAATTATTGATAGTTTTCAAAGTGTTTTGTCAAAGTATATATGAAGTAAATACCAGTGAGTGTGCATATTTGTGAATGTGTCTGAGTGTCACTTTGCTCATTTTTATTACCATTTCCTGTGTCCTGCTGCAGCATCCTGTAACCTGGCAGCCATCCAAGGAGGGAGACCATCTGATTGGACGGATCACCCTCAGCAAGAGAACTGCTGCCATGCCGAAAGAAGCTGGCGCTTTACTGGGGTTAAAGGTCAGAGGTCACACAGACATGCAAACAGTTTCTTAAATTATTTTTCTGTCTATTAATTCTAACTAAGCCATCCTGTGTTGTCCACTTGTCAGATATTTCTCACTAACTGTTGCTGTCTGCTTCTCTTCAGGTGGTGGGAGGCAGAGTAACAGAGTCAGGGAGATTAGGGGCCTTCATCACCAAGGTTAAGAAGGGAAGCCTAGCTGATGTGGTGGGACATCTGAGAGCAGGTATCCACTAAATTGGCACAGTAGCCTCTCACAAATGCTGGGAAGTAATAATCAGTCAAATGTAAGGTCTTTATAAACATCGAAATGTCCTAACTGCGATTGTTTAATAAGCTTTGTCACATAGAGAGTCTTATTGTATGTCTTGCAATAGATGATATAAGAAAAATCTTTTTTTTACCTGATACCCTGACACTTATCTTGCCTAACAAAGTGAAAATGTAGTTGTTCTTATCATAACTGATGCGCTGTACGTTCTGACGACCTCGTCTAGTCAGCTGCTGCATGCTGCAGGTTGTCTTTTCTTTTTCGCTAGTGTGTTTAGAAGAGCTAGTATCTTTTTGTTTTGTGTTGCAGGTGCTTGGTGTGGTGTAGTTGTGTCATCAGTGATTGGGAACACCTGGGCTTAGTGTTCTTGTGATCCTTAACTCCATATGCTGCAGACCTTTTTGCTTTTCTAGCGTAATGTTTAACACATTTGGCTAACAGGCAAAAGGTTCCTAGTTTGATTTAGTCACAAATCCCTTTGAGGGTTGTGTCAGGAAGGGCATCCAGTGTAAAAAAAAAATCAAACATGCAAAGCTACCCATTGTGGCAACTCCTTGGGGGATCAGCCAAAATTAGCTGTTCTACCTAAATAATATTTCACACACCACACTAGCACAAAATATGCTATCACTGACTCATTGATTGACATATACCATTTTTTCCCCTTTGGTTACTTTATGTAGTTTTGCAAAAAGAACAATTCTATTCATTTACTTGACTAATGGTGTAACGTCCCATTAATTATCATGGGTTTTGAACCAGTCTTTACAAGTTGGGCCTTGGTCTTTGATAATTTCCCAATTAGCTGGCGTTTACGGGTTTGTCCTTCCACCTGATTGATTAAGGGTGAGAAAAATTTATGTTGTTTGGAACAGTCATGGTTTTGCCTGACCAAAGAAACATAAGTGTTGGCATGATGATGTGTAACAATTTAAATGGGAGTTTTTCCCCTGTAAGGCATAGCAGCACTGTTCCTTAGGTTGTGTTTCTTGCTAGGTTGTGTGTCAGGTTGAATGCAGTTTAACTTTTTGTCTTGGGTGCATTTCATGGGTGTGAGGTTGTTGCCAGATGCTAGTTATTTCCTTGTTCTATCCTTTTCAATTGGAAGACTAGGCCTGAGTTAGTTAGGTGTTGTTTATGCAGTTAGAAGGGATGCTCGCTAGTATTACCTAGCTTTCCTACCATTTCTGAGGCTGCCGCGACCAGTTTAGAAATGGTAGGAAAGAGAATAAGCAGCCCTACCTGCAGTTTCCATGTGATGTGTTAAATAATATCACATCACATGTTAAATAATATCAGCCTTGGGCATGCATATGGGCATGCCCAAGGCATATGGGCATGCAACTCCCTTCGAGGTAAAACCTCGAAGGGAGTTGTGTGGCAGTGATTAGGAGCAAGTCACTTGGCTATGGAATATATTGGAATATATTAGAACTTACTGCTCATGGCTCAAGTAACTGGGAAGCCAAATGTAATCATTAAACCTCCTTGCATCAACATCAACTCACTGAGTTAGTGAAAGCAGCTATTTTGGGATGGTTCCTATCGTGAGGAGTTCAGGAATGATAGGAAAGGTTATAAGCGGCACTACCTGGAGTTTTTGCTTGATTTGTTGAATAATATTTGTTGTGCAGCTTCAGAGATAAAATCTCTTTAAGAGTTTTTGAGTCTTGTTGTTTTGGAAGAACACTTCAAAAAGTTCTGTCAGGAAAAAGAGCATATGAAGGCATATTGTTAAGCTCTGAAGAAAAAAAACAAGTAAATGTGTCTGCTAGACTAGCTGCTTCTTTTGAGATACCTTGTGTTGAAACACATTAAGCTACACTCCACTTGTGTTCCTTATGTGAAGAACTTCCCTGTGATGGTGCTTATTTACCGTTTACACCGGATGGTTTTATTTTCATGACAGAATACCCAATATCCTTTTCAGAAGAACCTTTTGAGCATATGCTCCTTAACTTGTGGGTCCTTTGCTTCCTTCCAAGTTGGAGCTAAAATATCTTTTTATTGTCATATGTCATATCACCCAGTTGCATATCCTTAACAACTGGTAACAACCAGGTCTGTAGTGAAAGCGACAATTTATTTCTATCTTTGAAATCCCTAAAGTGATCCAAAAATGATCAGGCTTCTAATTTTTACCTTCCAAGTTTGCCCAGTTGTTAAAACAAGTTCAGGTGCAGCACTTCCAGTCATCAGCCTATCAGCACAAAGTCAGGGCCCGTCCATCCATTCTCTTGTGCTTATCCTTGTTAGGGGCAGGGTCAGCCTATCACAGCTGTCTTAGGGCGAGAGGAAGGGTACACCCTGGACAGGTCAAAGTCAGGGTTGTTGGAGCATTTTCATCAGATGCTAAAGTCACTGTTCTTAGGCAGATTTTGGGAGAAGGGTTTTTCAATGCTTCATGTTGACAGCCAGAGAAGTTTCACAAGTGACAACTGGCTTTAGCCCCAGTGACATGGTGTTTGCCTGTTCTGTATACGGTGCTGAGGGTTTGTTGAGGGTTAAGGATGACAATGTTCCAAAAAACTAAACTGACTATGTGAATGACTTCCAGCATAGTTTATACATTCGAAGGTAGCTGGCAAAATAGAAGTTGGCTGCATCGCAAGGAATGATGAAGCTCATTTACGAAGCAGGCTGAGTGGGGCCAGTTCAGTCCTGATGATCAAGTGCTGCCTGTTGTTGGATGCTTCTTTCAGGCCAGGTCCTTCCACAGTGGTGAAGCAGATCTCACGAAAGAGTTGTTTAATTTCTACACCAGAGTTGCTTAAGAAAACACAGCTCTGTCTGTTGAAACCACCCTTTTGTGGTTACCCAGTCACTAGTAGTAACAGAAAGGGAAAAAGTTGGTACTGGGAATTAGGCATGTGGTTGGTTTAAAGCACCAAAACTCTCAGAAATGTGAATAATTTGTTAGTTCACCTAAAAGAGTTTCTGTGTGACGAGCTGGAAAAATTCCAAACGTTTATTTGATGACACACGTTCACAAACTCACCATATTCATTTGATGATTCATATGATTATTGATATTCCCCATTAAGCAGCACTTTTACTAGGTGTCAGCTGACAAGTGTAAGTACTTGGATGCAGAAGTCAGGTTCATACTTTAAAACAACATCATCGACCCATCATCTTCTAGCTGGCTAGCTTCTAGCTCCCTTGTTTTCTTGTCCCATTATGTGACAACACTCTCAGGTTTTGTTTAGACTCTTGGCAAGGTCAGTATCACTAAGCCTGTTGCATTTCCACTTCCATGATTGGATGACTGTATTGACCAAGTTTGATCTGCAAAGTTTATGAGTAAAGTTTATCTGTTCGAGTGATACTGGTCCTATTGATTAAAAATCTGGAATGCTACACTCTCTGTCTGGATGATGTGGTTGTATAGAATGACATTTGTGGCATTCATATGTTGTGTATTTGTTCCTTATTTAAATGTCTGTCTGCAGTCCGACTGAACACTGACTTGGCTAAATGTGAATTTGCTATCCATTAGTAATCTACAACGAGCATGTTGTTGGCCGGTGTCAGCTGTGGCCACAACGAGGGGTGCCAAGGGAAGGCGCTGGCCAGAGAACAAAAGAAAAAAAAAGAGCTGATGTCATTCTTAGGCATGGTCGGATATTACCATAGTTTCTGCTGGAACTTTTACTGGAAGATGTCACTTCCCTTACCAGTCTGAGGAAGGCACATGCTATATATTTGTGGTATATGATGCGTGGTCTCTGAACTTATAGTTCTAGTGTATGCTAATCAAGAGATCTAAAAATGTGGAAGTGGACATGGTCACACGTATTGACAGATGTTCTTATGTGGGATCATGCTGCTAAGGTTAAGGTAGTATGTAGGCTGTGGTGGTGTAGGTTGCCAGTTGACGACACTGTCTCTTTCGGCTCGTGGGCTGGGAGGTTGTATTTGTCTTTGTGTTTTGTGTTGCAGGTGTCCAGTGGGGTGTGGTTGGGTGATGATGGATTGGGAACACCTAGGTCCAGTGTTCCCCTGTATAAACGCATGCTCCACTTGTTACCTCAGGGGGAACAATAACTTTGCACCTAAGCTATTATTGCTGCAGACTTTTGTGCTCTTCCTTTCTCAAACAATGTTTCACTTACTACATTAGCACACGTTCAAACATGCCAATGATCCTGACTCATTTACTGACATATGTCATGTTTTTATGTCCTTTGATAACTTTATTTAGTTTTGTTAATTTCAAATAAAAAGTATTAATTTAATTGTTTTAATCCTGTCAACAGCCATTACTTTGACATGGCTTTTGAGCTAGTTATGACAATGTGGACATCTGATTTCAGGTGACGAGGTTTTGCAGTGGAACGGGAAGCTGTTACCGGGAGCAACTATGAAGGAGGTTTACAACATCATCTTGGAGTCTCAAGCTGACCCTCAAGTGGAGTTGGTGGTATCCAGGCCTATTGGGTAAGTCAGGCATGAAACACGTCCAGTATACTGTCAGAGTCATATGTTTTTACCTGGTTTGTCAGTTACTAGTCTATTTGTAAATTGAAACCCTTATTTAATTAGGCAACATTTATTTGGACTCAGAGTTGACCTCAGACAAAGCAGGAGGTTATGATGCACAGCTGCATTCAACGTATTAAAAACAACTGGCCATTGCCTGCAGCTGCCAAGTTTTGGACTGGGAGATAGCCATGTCTCATATGTCCCCTTTAAAAAAGCACTTGCTTTTATTTGTCGGATGGTAAAAGCTGAATTATTATTGACCAAATAAAACTGTCTGTAAGCTCCATTAAAGACAGGAGAAGCTGAATGTGAAGTTTTTAGTCGATGGATTGCAAAGCTCAACAAGCACAGTCATGAACATACTTATGAAGGCAGTAGACGCCCTGAGTAAAATTTATTTTTAACTCTAAGTGTATCATTTCAAATCATTAGTATCAAAAGTCATCAGCAAACAAAAAAAAGTTCATTTTTCTCGAGATACTTTGAATTGGATGCTTTCAGGTACACTAACTTTGCCTTATATTTAGCAGACTTGCTAACTCTTACATTGCTAACATTAGCAAAGCTTTGGAAAAATTAAATTCAAAGAGAGGGACTTTGAGGTGTCACCCTCTCATTTTCCATTATTGTTCAAGAGATGTCATTTCAAAAACGTCACACAAACCAGGGTGCAAGCTGGTTTCAGGTATTTTGAATACGTTTTGTTGTTGTGTGTAATAAGGTCAATCCAGTGGGTTATTTTAAAAGTAAAGTGCCCACTGGTGCAGCTCTCAAATTTTACTTTTCTGCTTATTGATGGAAAAAAAAGTTGAATATATGAATTTCTCTCCAAACACTCACGAAGGGTGTATAGAAAATATCAGTAAGTAATCTTTTTTTTTTTTTTTTAGGACCTTTTAATTCTGCCACGCTTATGGAAACTATTTTGGTTTTGCTGGTGCCATTTTGCATCCCTAAAGGAACTAACTGTAATACTGTTAAGTGAGAAATCTAATTGATGTCACTATACGGTTTTATGAAAGTAGCTGCACTGTGTGCTAAATTAAACTGCAAGTTTACCTGTTGGGATGCAAAATGGCCAGCGGAAAACATCCATCAATGTATCAGTGTTTTCGCAAGCTTTTAAGCTGTTTGTGCAGCATCTGGAATTCCTATTTTTTAAACTCCTGATTAAGTCTTACCCTCGAGTAAATTCATAGACTGTATATAAAAGATGGTCACAGCAAGCAAGTAAACTTGCATTTTTTTAAATGGCCACAAGAGGACGACTAGTGTCAGTTGTTATAGAATGCAACATGATTGGTTTTTTGTTAAATTTTGGTCCCACTAGGAGTCAAAAAAGGACGATAAGAATGGCATGTCAGATAAACAGCCTGTCTTGTGATTGACAAGTTAGAATGACTACGCAGCTGCAACTTCTGTTTTTAAAAACTGAAGATGGCAACATTAAACAATCCTCAGGACTTGGAAGAACAGGATTTTTCAAAGCACTGGCCAATCTGGTCTTTAAGTCTGACGTCATTAGCCGTGCCTGGGCCTAAACTCCGCTGCAGGTCCCTAAGTCACACGATCACTGCAGCGTCACTGAGAGTTAAAAACTGTCTAAACTCTTTCATCTGTAATAAAATGATCAGTGTGGCTGCTCTACCAGGTGTAACAATTAAGTTTACATTCAGGCATCCATGAAAACCGAATTTATGAAATTTAACAAAGTTTGTAGGGTTACTGAAGCTTGGCTAGCTGGTGTATAACGATGTGCTACGTGATCGCTAGCAACACAGCTATGTTAGCAAAATTAAAACAGTGAAGCTGGAGGATGAACACTAAATGTTTTTGCACTCGATAAAAGTTAACGTGAGGGTTCCCGATGGTTACGAACAAATGCAATCGCATGCCAGGATCCACAACAAGAGGTTAGTCATTAATATACTGCTGCATGGGCTTAGCTATAGTTTTAAAAACTGAGCTTTAAAATGAATAGCAGTAATAAAAACCGAGAGAGGCCAACAGTGATCACTGACTGTTTTGGGAGGCTTGTTGAGATTAATACAACAAGATACAAAGCATTAAAATATGTTAAATACACAACAGCCTTATTAAACGCAGTAGTTTGGGCCTGGAAGCAGGGTTCATCACGTCATCACTTAAAAACCGGATGGTGTGATGGCTACGTCTGTCTTTTATATACAGTCTATTAGTAAAATCCAGCACACAGTATCCCTGGTACCTTATTTCTGAATTACTGAAGTTGGGTTTCATAAAGCAAGCAATATTTTTTTTTCCATATACATGTTTCCTATTTTTGATTTTGGAATGTGTTTCAAGGCAACCTATGATCCATGAAACACTTATCAGTTTAATACTTGAATTTACAAGTAAAAATTTTACTAAATGAAGCAGTTTTCTTTCAACTTGAAGCAGAAATAAGAAAATTTCAGTCTGACAGTTATACATTAAGTACAAAGTTGAAGGTACTTTATGCTTATTTCCAGACTTTATGCTAGTTTATCTTAGTTAGCTTTAAGTCCAGACACTAGCTCTTTGAGTGGTATCCATATTTCTCTCAAAAAGAATGTTTTTTAGGGATTTGATTGTTGAATAATGGTTTGTTTGGTAAGTAAAACTCTAAAACACTGCCACTTCATGTGTAAAACCATCACATGCCTGATGTGAGTCCAAGATTAGCACACTTTAAATTTCAACTGAAAAAGAAAATTACACTGATAAGTGTTACACAGATTACCATTTCTTTTCCTTTACATTACATTGAGCTGGTGCAGTGGATTCTGGTGTTTCCCATGGGTTGTGGTGATGGATAAGAAAAGATGGCGGTGTGGATAGACGCTAATGAGCTAATGGTTTTCACCCATTATAATTTCCAGTTGTGATTGGTCGAACAGAACTGAGTGAGTCTGGGAAACACTGCAGTCACGGGAAGAGCTTTGCTCTACTCACATCTCCCTTTGCTTCTCCATTTTTTTAACCACATGATCCTTTAATCTCAACATCCAAATAACCTTTGTTTACAGTGCTGCTTTCTCCCTGCGTGGTAACTACTGTCTGAATATGCATGTACGCCTGTGTGTCACTTTTACATCTAACATTCTTAGTCTGACTTCAGTGCCAGTACAACTGTGACTCATGTGTTTTTGCGGTTTCTCTTTCAGTGATATCCCAAGAATCCCCGACACGTCCCACCCTCCATTAGAATCTAGTAGGTATCTCCTCTGACATGTTGAGACTGCTCTGTGCTTGTTTGTCACCTATGTATGTCGTATATCTGTATATCTAGCTGATTTCATTTGTATGATATGAATTATAGCAAAAAATACGTTTGTTGATGTACTATTGTATACTTTATGTTATGGATGTCATATTATGTCATATAAACTTAAAGGAATAGTCCAAAATTTTGAAATATTTTCTTCCTTTCTAAGAATTAGGTCTTGTGTGAATGAGTCAAGAAAAACTGAAAGAACTACCTCAAAGGTTTTTAAAAAACACTATTCAACTGTTCACAAAAATGTAAAAAAATAAAATTTGTGGTTTTCATTAGTGGAAAAAATATTGAGTAAATTCACTTAATTAAAAATGTCATAAATGTCCTTTCAATAGCGTAATGGTTTACAAATTTACTTGGCAACCAAAAGGTCATTGGTTTGATTCTAGCTGGAGACGCAGATCCCTTTGGGGTTGTGTCACGAAGAGCATCCAGTGTAAAATTCTGCTAAATCAAAACATGCACAGCTGCCCACTGTGGTGACCCTTTGTGACAAATGGGCACCTGAAAGTAGCTTTTTATGCGTAAAAGTCGTCATAATAATACTGTGAACTTACAGTACTGTCAGACAAATGTACAACACAGGTTATAAAAATATTGCCTTCTGTATTTTAGTAGAGTTGTAAAGGTGAGGTATAAAGACTATTAGTTGCGTTGCCTTGCTGTTTGTACACTATGTGCTTTTTTTTCCATCCTATTCTTTTCTAATTAATAGATAAATTATACTTTTTTAAATAGATGACATCCACTAGTGGCTCTGCCAGTTATGTCTGTTTTGGAGTTGTTTAAATTAAGAGCTCATTCATTGGTGAAATTTTCCTGCCTCGTTTCTTATGCTAAATTAAACTGATTTCTTCCTGGTATTTATATTCTCATCTAACTCCCAGCAAGAAAGATAAATATTGGCCCTTAAAATGTTGAGTGGTTTCTTTAAAACAGACACTCATCTTAAACATAGCCAGAGTATCAAATAATGATGTAAATGTATGTATAATTGATTGCAGAGCTCAGGATTCAGACTGCTTTACAGGTTTTTTTTCTATCTGTGGCTCTGTGTGACATCACTAATAGCAGATAGTCCTAAAATGATCATCTAAGCCAAACGGCTCTGGCTAAGACAAACGATGATGAAAGGGTGCCCAGAAAGCCCAATATGACATAAATGAGGATTTTTTTCAAATAATAAATCATGCAAAGGTATTCTAATAGACAGGGGTGCGCATAAGTGGTCTGCAGGTGCGCATTCGCTGTCAAAATAGATAAGAAGTTGCAACACGTGTTTGCGTACATATAAAAGGCACTGTTTTTGTCTGCTAGAGTGGGATTTTCATGGCATATTCTGCACCACATCTCTGTGCCTTCATCATTTGTTTGAAGCCAGCTCACCTCCTGCAACCACTTTTCAGAGAATACGCGCTTCTTTTGCGGTTCGGACTCCTTCTGACATTTCTTTGGAGGTGGAGGAACACCAAAGTAATTGCTTAAAGGAGCTTCTTCGACATCTTTAAGAGTTCTAAACAAATGTCTGTTCTCCTCCAGAAAATCTTATGTATGCAAACGCACGTTGCAACTTCTTTTCTGGTGCGCGTCTTTTAGTTTGACAGCTAATGCGCACCTGTGGACCACTTATGTGCAGCCCTGCTAATAGAGTCTAAGAATAAAAATCTCATGTTTGAAATGAGCATAATCAGTTCCCTTCAAACACGTGGAGATTGATGAGTACTAGAAGTTTTCTGTTCCCTTTCTGAACATGTGGCTGATAATGTCCTCTAATATTGCATGGAGTGACTAATTAGACAACTCTTTTTTTCCTGAAACTAACTGATGTCTGACATCTGTGATGAATGTTAGCGGGAGAAGATCAGTTTCCTGGTAGGCAGTTAGTTAGATGACTTTTGATCATGTAATTGAATATAAGGCTTTCGTGACCCAAGTCACACTGAAGCCTGCTGGACTCTAACTAGGACAGAAGCGTGGTGATTTGTCATCCTGACAGGTTAGCTGACTTATACTTTAAACTGTTTCTGTGTGAACTTTTCTGAGGAGTCTGGAGTTTCAGTAACGAACGCACCTTTGGTTTTGGAGCAGATTATGTTTTCAGTCTGACTCCCTTCTGAAAGACAGCTGGCATTTCCTGCTCGGGATTTCAAACATATTGCTTTCCCTGCCTTCATAGCAGGTTCCAGTTCTTTTGAGTCCCAGAAGATGGAGAGACCATCCTTAAATGTCCTGTCTCCCTCCAGTCCCGGGATGCTCCGAGATGCTCCGCAGTTAATGCCAGGGCGACTCTCAGTGAGTGTGGGCACTTGAACTGTGGAGGACCTTTCAAGTTTGCTAAATGTGAAGACATGGCATCGGATTTGTTTTTGTTTGCTTCTCATCCAGGTGAAGCTGTGGTACGATAAAGTGGGTCACCAGCTCATAGTGAACGTGCTGCAGGCTGTGGAGCTTTCTCTTCGGCCTGATGGGCGGCCCAGGAGCCCTTATGTCAAAATGTACTTCCTCCCTGACCGCAGGTATGCCAACCCTGACACAGGCACTCTGAACAGTCACAATGCCTAGCCCTCATTTGGCATGAAAATTATGGCCATTTACAAAAGAGCTGCAAAAAACCTTGTGACACGAAGGCTAGGACACGATTCTTTTATGCAAACTGCACAAATCATGCACGTGACTTTTAATGTAAAACACTGGAGTTTGGCATCGAATATACTTATATAATACAATATGCACAAGTTTTTGATATTGAATGAGTATTGTTTCGTCCCTTAGACTTGGAAGAACAGTTTGTAAAAAGAACAAAAATTTCATGTTCTGATAGTATAGTCAGGGTTAGGGTGATCGCAGATGATGACTTTGACCTCACATGGATAAAATACATCTTCAGTAATCATGTTATACAACGCAATCGAAGAGGGTTTTTTTGGGAAAAGACACTCTACTGTGAGTTTAGCATCTCGTTTATATTTAAAGAAAGCAGTTCCAGTCAGCTGAATAAGGCACAAATGGGACTAGAATCAAAATCAACATTCAACTGACTTTAAAGACAAGAATCTGTTGTTTAACACAGCGACAAGAGCAAACGAAGGACAAAAACAGTGAAGAAGACCTGTGAGCCTAAGTGGAACCAGACATTCGTCTACAGTCACGTCCATCGCAGGGATTTCCGAAACCACATGTTGGAGCTGACCGTGTGGGACCAACCCAGGTCTCCAGAGGAGGACAGCATCTTTCTGGGAGAGGTAGCACACACATCCACATACACACATGCCGGGTATTCATATCTTGTGGAGACATCTACTTGACACAATGCTTTCCCTAGCCCCTAACCCTAACCATCAAAAATGAATGCCTAACCCTTAAACATTTAACTTCTTTACAAAGCACATATTTACTGTGTGGTTGGTGACTTGAACAGGTCCTGGTGGAGCTAGAGACGGCCTTACTGGATGACAAGCCTCACTGGTATCCCCTCCAAACTCATGATGTCTCATCCATACCACTGCCCCAGCCCTCCCCATACCTGCCCCGACGACACATAGACGCCCCTGGCAAAAAATTGCAGCGTAAGTCTGTCAAGATCTCATGTCGTGTGCAACATGACATGCATAAGCTCTTTCATATATTTCTGCTTGTAAGTGTACACATCCTGTCCATAAGCAGTTTAGCATGTGTGTCTATGTAAATGTCTGCTTTCACTCCATTTCCCTAATACTGCATTTGATGTGTGCATCCATATATATGTGTGTGTGGTGTGTGTACACATCTGTGGGTATCTTTGTGTGTGTGTCTGTTACTGTTTAGGTTCTCAGCGTGTAACAGAGGCTGAATTTGATGAGGGTACAGCAGTAGTATCTAAAGGTGGGTTGGGACTGTTTCTTAGTTTTACATGCAGTTTTTCTGCAGCTTGCACTTCTGTTCTCGGTGTTATTTGTAACTATAGCTTTTAAAAAATGAGAGCTGCTAAAGAGTGGTTACATGTAGGCTTGGTTCGTAATCCAGAATTTAAGTTATTTGGTTAAAAATTGATAACTTGAGATTCTAAATGACCCCAAAACTTCTTACATTGCACCGGATGTTGTTGTTGTTTTTTTTTTTTTAATTATCCATTAATAAGGACAGATTGTGGTCATTTCACAATAAGTCCAGTATGGATAGTAGTACATAGTAGTAGTACTTTAGTAGTGTACAAAGATAACTGCATATTTGTGTACTTTACCAAATCTGCCAGATTTACAGTTTAAAGTAATCTTCATTTATCTTATACTTGTGTATGGTACCACCCTCATCCTTAAAACCAGCTTACTGGCTGCTAAACAGAAAAATCAGGTGATGAGGTGAGTGGGGCTTTTTTGTGGGGCCTGTGTGCTTGTAAGGACCATACTGGAGATAACTATGATTCCCCTGAGAGATCAAATGCAAGTTAAGAAAAAACCAGCAGATTAGTTGAACACAGTGGAAATAGAAAAAGAAAATGCTGCAAAACTTGCAAAAAAAAAAGAAAAAAAGATGGATGTGTGTACTGTGACATCATCCACAGGTTTATGACATTCTGTTTTGAAGCCATGGGCTTAGCGTTTTTACCATCACCACACTGATTTCCAGAAAAAGTGTTGTGACAGGGAGGGGGTCTCAGTCATTGGCTAACAACAATCAGTCATTCACACGTCATTAGCCAATGACCACGCCCTGTATATTGTTCTATTGTGAAACAAAGTGAACAAGAGTTACAAAATATATTATATTTTTTATTTATGACTAAAAATTATTTACTGAGCACATAAACTCATCAGGAAAGTGTTTAGTTAGAAGGTTGTTTTCCCACAACCTTCTGTAGGAATAAAGTGTTTTTACAACCACAGTTGGCCTTGGTGTATTGGCCTTCAGAAAGCAGGCAAAGGCACCTATTGCCTTTTTTATTCCAACCCGGAGGCTACATCCATTTTAAACTTGCAAGTAATGTAATTTAATAGGCTATTAGCAAGATTTTTTAAAAATTATAAGTATTTTAACATAAGATAAGGTAACATGCTACTGGCATATAAGGAAATTGCATGTGGAATAAAGCTAAACTTGCAGACATTAACATAATTATAGAGAGGAATGCTGTAAGGTAAGGCCATTAGCATGGTTTTAAATCAGGTTACACATGAGGTGGAAGGCCACTAGCATGACTTCTTATATCTTTTATATAGTGTTTGTATCTAACAGATTACTGACATGAAGTCAATCATCCATGTTGTGAGGGCTATGAGCATGAGGTTAAACTACATAAGTGGAAGCAGGGTCAGTAGCATGAATTCTTGTGTCTTTTATACCCTCTCTGGGTATAAAAATGTAACTTAAACTAGCTAGGCCTGCAGTGTTTCGCTAAAACACAGATGTGTATGTTAAATTATGTTGTTGTTTTTATTTGATCTATATCAGTGTATATAGTGAGAATGCAAAAACTTCTGTACATAAACACCAAATGAATAAAAATGACATATATTTCTTTCTTCTTGTTCATTGCAAGCTACATATTCATGTAATAAGACAAATCAATTAAAGGCAGTGTTAGCATCACTGTTTGATTAACAGGTATTTACAGACATGCATGACAATACATTCCAGTGACCAAATGCCACAGAAATAAAAGGTTTTTGCTAAATTTAATAACAGTAAACCTCATGTATACAGATTTATTTCAAACCCTACGCGGTTTGTTTAATAAGTTTAATCCAGACTGATTAATGCATCGAGAAAGAGTTAAGGAACAGACCTACACGATGATCACTCTGGTGAGAATGTGTTGTGAGGGTAGCAGACATTGGTTTAGTTATAAACAAATGCTGTAAGGTAGCAGAAAATGAACATGAATTTAATTATCATATATGAGGTAGTATCATGAATTCCTCTGTATTTTTAGTGCTAAAGTGTAGAAGGTTAATAGCATGTTGTAAGGGTAATAGACATTAGTTTAGTTCAGAACTTAGCAGGTGACTAGAATGAAATTAAATGTACATGGTATAAAACAGCAGACTGTTAACAAGATTTAGTCACAGATGTTATGATTTAATATGATTTTTTTTCTTTTTAAGTGGAAACAGTTCAGAAGTTGTCTTGCAGGCAAATGATAAATGTAATTCGGCCTGACTGTAGCTAATGTATGGCTTTGGTATAAATTTTTGACATGCAGATATGGTGGTGGATAAGAAACAATGCAGATTAAAAAAAGATACTGTAGAAAAATGCATTTCACTCTAATTCATCCTAGCTATACTGGCTATGTTCCACTACTGATCTTGACTAGCAGCCATATTTTAAAGCCATTAGCACATTTTTGCAACTTCAAGGCCCACGCATCTTCCCATGTATGCATAATGACAGTTATTGTATATCATTAATGTTTGCCAGGATCATATGGAAAACCTTAGAGTTAACAAACCCATTTTAGTAATATTATTCACTCAAGAAGAGACTGTATATGGATCATATAGTACTACTTAATACCGTTCCTTTCTTATGAATTTTAGAGACTGAAGGTTTTGTCACTATTAAAGTATACACTCTGAATTGCACTTACTTTGCTATGATCTTGTTTATGTACGTGTGCATGTGTGCTGCCATTTCTCCATAGCAGCAGATGGACGTGGCAGGGAGAGGCAGCGGGAGCCCACATCTACCCTGGAGGTCCCTGAGCAGCAGAGGACCCCCACCCATCACATACGTTCTCGTTCCGTCTCCCCTCATCGAGAGGAGCAGGGGCGCATCCGGTCGCGGCCACCCAATGTCCCCCCCCAGAGGTGAGGGTTGAGTAAGGCAGGATTTTACTCCCCATTATTTGTCCAAATGGTTATATTTTAGCCATAAATTGTCTTGAACGCACTGCCCTGGACCGATTGCTGAGTCCTGTGAAAGAGCTCTGTGGATTCACGTCTGACGATGATTACTTAAAAAGACCGATATCGGCCTGGGGAGACGATAGTGAATGCATGGAAGAGGCAAAACCAAGATTCAGGAAAAACAGACAGGACATGAGCGTTTCTGGAAGCCAGCAAACTGAGTCCATCTACTAATGAAATGTCTGTCTGGCTCAGAACATGCAGTGCTGCCAGCTCTGCTTTTAGTGACTGAGCTAAATGAAACCGAGCAGCAGTGTGCCGCAATACCACCTGACCACTAACCTCACAAGTCAGTCTCTCATTTATCCGTCCATCCATTTATTTATTTATTTACATTTCCTTCAGGAGCCTGGATGATGAGCTTTCTCACGGTCACCGTTCTCGTTCTCCGTCCCGCTACTACGATGCTGGTAGAGGTCGCCATCAAGGGGAAGGGTATCTGGACGACAGGTGCGTGCCTGTGTTTGGTCACCACTTGTAGTGTAAATGTCATCAGAGTTGCTTTATGTTGTACAAGGCCCTAGTTTTTTGTGCAAATCCGCATCCGCTGAAAAAGTGTGTACAGAGTGTGAGTGCCTGTGTTGCCAAGTCTAACTTTGTTTACTGGTCTCTTAGATTTAAATAGTTGCTGCTTTTTGTCTGTTTTTGTTTTGTTTCTTGAAAAGCGTTTGATGCCGTAGCTATCTGTTGAGTTTCATGTTGCACGAGGTGACCTCAGACCTCAGTGTTTAGGTTGAAAGCTCTCGGTTGCAAAACTGAATTTCTGAATCTGTGTGACTGTGTGGAACCAGCCAAAGCTCTCTTTCCTATTCACTCTCTTCTCCCCTCTGCTCTTCTGGGGGTTTTTTAACTGTTGTTGATTTCCTCATATGTCATCCATCCCCATGGTTACCACAGTGAGGTCTTCACGATCCACCAATCAATGCGAGGCAAAAGTGCTGAGTGCCTGCACACCAGGTAAACTGGCCAATCGTGACATGTTTACATGTTGGTTGTAGATGAGGTGTGTTTTTGTCAGATTGTCTCTAATTGCAGTCTGTCGCTCAAGACTGTTATTTAAAAGTGAAACGAATATGCCTCTGAAATCGAGGTAAAAAAAATCCTGTGTAATGCAAAATGTATACAGAAAAGAAATGTGAACAAGTCCCATGCAAACTTTGACTTCCCAGCATTATAAAAGAGAACCGAGTTATATCAGACCTTACACACAGACACATTAGTTGGTTTTAGTCCGTTCATTAAATGAAATAACTGTAAGAAAAACACAATGTGTCATATCTAAATAACGAGACAAAAAGGAGGCCAGTGAGCTGAAATCCTGTGGTAATCGAGCTGTACTGCTGCCTCAGATCCACAAGAGGACACTACAGGACCATGCATGGTTTCAGACTTTGCTGCTTTTCAAGAATCAGTCCAACAGTACAGCTTGCAGGGGCTAGACCACAGGTGTCGACCTCCAGGCCTCAAGGGCCGGTGTCCTGCAGGTTTTAGATGTGTCCTTGATCCAACACAGCTGATTTAAATGGCTAAATTACCTCCTCAACATTTCTCAAAGTGCTCCAGAAGCCTGGTCATGAACTAATCATTTGATTCAGGTGTGTTGACCCAGGCTGATATCTAAAACCTGCAGGACACTGGCCCTCGAGGCCTGGAGTTCGACACCCCTGGGCTAGACTTAAAACTAAATGTTGCTTAGTGTACACCTGCTTTCATACGTCCAAATGATGAATATGCACCAATTCTGTCTCTGACTGAAACAATTTAGGGCACTTTTTGCATGATGCTCCAATATCTTTATTTAGTCTGAAGGCTTTTGGGTCATTCCATGGAAACTGTACTGGTCCTCCTGTTTCTGGACAAAAACCAAACTATGAATTTTGTGTTTCATAGCATATTTTAAAACCTGCAATAATGCACGATTCGAAAGCTCGGGAACTTGTCAAATATCTTTTTTTTTTATTAATACGCTCATTTGTCAGTTAGTTAGCTTGGCCCAGTCACAGGAATACAGCCAACACTATAGCCTGAGATGAGGTAAAATCTAATTGGATAGAAAAATTCTAAATGATGTGTCAGAATTTCTCTATGTGGTCAAAGTTAACACCAGTATGCACACATATACACATATACAGTGCTGTTTGTAAGCCTATGTAAAACTGCATGGCTCTAAATGAATAATATTATTTCATCCAAAAATACTGCTGTTTCACACTTGATTGCTACATTTCCCATTAAGAGAGAAGTGTCGGTGCTACTTAAACAAAATACCAAAAAGTCATTACATATATTGCATGAGACACAGGAGACATTTTGGTTTAGTGTGTTTGGTCACTGGAAACTATATTTTTTGGGGTTTTGTTTTTCCCTTTAAATGTTAGGAACCCAAACGTGACAGTTTTCATGTAATGACTCTTACTGATTATTATTTCTATTTTTAAGTTCACGTGTAGTGTAGTGACTCTTACATTGCCATTTGAGCACACAGCCAAAGAGGTAAGTTACACTATATATACCTTTGTTAGAGGTATATAAAACCCCTATACAACCGTAGCTGTGTTAGTATCTAACCTAGGACACTTTTTGTACTTTTTATACACACAAGTGTATAAGTGTACAAGTGTTTGAGGAAAGGAGGGTGTAAAGTGCTAAGTTTGTCTGTAGAGAAGAGATCTGGCTGCTGCTGACTGTACGCTCTTAATGCAGAGATAATGTGCTTACTTATGCTTTAACACCCTAAAATCTTAGCCAGTGATTTTTGCAATGACCACAATATCTAGAAACATGTTGATAAATAAATCTAAATAATTAACAAATCAAAAATCAATGAGATCACTGGATAAGATGCCACTTCTTTCCCCCTTTGTATCTTTCGGTTGTCCATGCACTCCTATATACTTTTTTTCTGCTCTTCCTCCTTTTCCTTCCGGCTTCCTTTCCTGCTTGTGTCTGCTGCATGCATGCTAACATCAGGAGACCTACTAGGCACAATAACACACTGCCACCTAAGATGCCACTTTTGTTCAGCAGTTTCCGCAAACAGGCAAATAGGTAAGTCTTCAGTTCAATCGGTTCAAATGGAGAAAGTGTCCAAATCTGAAGGGACTTTCCCTGTGTCGACATTTTACCAAGGTAGATCACAGACTGTATGTAAAAGATTGACCTGCTCAGAGTTGTCACCTGTTGTTGGTGAATCCTCAAGATGAACATTTTGCTTTTTGTTTTTTAAATAAATAAAGTTATCCCTCTAAAGGGGACCATGATAAAAAAAAAAGCCCATTAAATATTAATTGCATTATATAGTACTTCAGATGTTTAATTGAGCCCATAAGGTTTTCAGAAAGATCTTTTCTTGAATGTGTCTGCTCTTTTCCCCATGTTTGTTTTCAAATGGACATCAGGTGTCTCCCCCTGCTGGCCATTTTAAAGAATGCAGTATCTCTTATCAGCACACAATACCAAAGGGGCAACAGCACAGGGAACAATTTGCTCGTCACCTGCTGCTTTGTTGCAGACATTTAATCGCTTGAGGACAATTCAGGCTTTAGTTGCCTTAGTAACGCTATATTGTATTTAATATGCAGTCACATTCCAGCCAACAGCATCCTTCTATGGTATTTCGTACAATCACTTGCCTTGAAGTTGAGAAAGTTTACATTTGGACCCGCCCACTTCTCGTTACCAGCGGTTACTTTGACTCATCGCTTCAAGTTACTGAATCCCGACGACTTTTTTGTTCTCTGATTGCCTCATCAGTCCTTGTTGCTTCCTGCGTAGATGTCTTTTTCAGGAGCATCCACATAAGTTATTACATGAGTACATTCTATTATCTTTTTGTTTTCATAGATTCATTTGGCTCATTTTCTGAAATTGATTCACTATCAACAGCTTTTATTTTAAATGACCTCTTGCAGAACTCACACTTTAGCAATCACTGATCAAATGCACTTTTTGAATAACTGGATAAACAACGAGAAGAGCTTCAGTATAATGTTATGTAGCAGAACATTCACTGTCATTAAGGCGTTAATAAAAGTTTCTATCATTTTACTGTTTATTAACAGCAGTTATTAAAGGGTTTCTGCAGAACCTTTACTTGTGTGAACTTGATTACAAAAAATGGCGCCTACTTTTTGTCTGCTGTTATACCTTGAGCGCTCCTAGCCAAGAGCGACAGAGAACAAGTATGACTGTAAGACTTTGAAAAAAGACAACAAAAGAATTGAGTCAGATGACATTTTCATTGTCAGAAAAGTTCTTTGAGGTGCTATTAGATGTTGCTCTTGCTCTTCGCGCTCCATTTGAAGCATACTGAAGCCATCAGACAATTTGTAGTACCAGTGTCAACTTATATTGGACTGGTTAACGGTTCAGTCCTTCCATCACAGCAGGGGCTTCTGATTAGTTTCCAACCTGTCTTCTTTTATTTCTTTAGTTTCGTTAACAAATGCTTCCACTTTTTGAAATTTCCATTTCATCAGTAGCTCCACGCTGCTTGCATATTAAATAAGTAACTCTGTAGTGAGACTGAAAATGGTCATGGCGACATGCCGCTCCACCACACATCTGTGGTCTAATGATGAGGTGACACATCGGTAAGGCACACACACACATTGATGATGGTTGATGGTTAACATGGATGTTTAAGTGTTCCGCGTTGGGAAAAATGCAGAGATCAATCAGTCTAGTTTTGGCAGTAACAGCTAGAAGACACATTTTCCTCCATACTCCATCTCCATGTCAACCATTGCAATGTACAGACACTGCCATCCTGACACCAGCTGCGTCAGTCATGGTTTAATTTCTTAGAACAGCATTATTAGGGAAATCTAACCAGACTTTCTTTTAAAAGACTTTTTCTGTTTGTCCATTGTTTTTCTCTTTGTGTCTGTTTTTGTCCTCCCACCCTGTCTCCTCTCCATCTCCTCCTCCTCTTCCTCCATTGGATGGCATGTTGTGCTGTGGTGCCTCTAGTGATCTGCAGCCTTCTCTGGACAGGGTTAGGAGCGCTAGTGCCAACTGTCTGGCTCCAAACAATCATGCCCCCTCACCAGAGACTGAAAGGTACCAGCCTCTGTACCCAACCCCCTTCCTGTAGTCCTCCTGCACTTCAGCTTTCCCTGGTCTTTGTAGTTCCTTCACCTCTGAATGATCCTACACTAGCCTGATATCATCCTCACCCCACCTACACCACTATTGTGCACCACTCTACTATTCCAGCAAATCCCCTTTGTTACCTCTGTCCTCAAGGTTGTTCATGATGATGTTGTGATTTTCGCAAAGTCTCATTGGCAAGCAGCATTCTGAGTATTCGGGTCAATTTAAAGACAACTTCATAACCAGCTATCAGACAAAGGAATCAGTTTACCTTACTTGTACCTTACAGTTTTTGATTTGTCACTTCCTTGAAACTATTCCCAACATTAGACGGTCGAAAGGATGTACTACGAAGCAAGATCAGTTGGTTAGCAAAAGTAAGGCTAAATGATGCAGTTTTACTAATTCTAAGAGACACAATAAGTAAACCTCTTGAGCCTATAGACTGCAAATAAATGATGGATGTAGTCACTGTGATGTCACCTGTTGGTTAGTGAAATCCCTTTGTAAAACCTCAGGTGAAGCATTAATCAAAGGTAGACCCACCCTGCAAGCAAAGATTAAAAAAGCCTGGGTCTTCTGAACTTGCTTCGCAGTAGACCGTCTTTTTTAGTTACTTTTGTCTTTTCAATGCTTAATACAAAAGTCCTGTTGGCATTTGTCCATTTAATTCAGAGTCACTGTGTCGTTCATGTTGTTCCTTCTGGTTGTAAAGTGATAACATAACTGCACTGTAAACGGTGGGATTCACGTTTTAATGCAGAAAAGAAATGCCCAAACAATTGATCTTTGCTGTCCATGAAAATGAGAAGAAAAGCTAAAGCTAAAAGAAAAATATAGACTTGCGTTTAAGTGTCTAGAAACACAACACAAAATAAAGCTAATGTGAAAATGGGGAAACATTTGCGAACAAACTTGCCATATTCAGTTTATAAGGTGATAGCGTGCTAATATTGTGTTTACAGCCTGTTCTGTTACTCCCAGGTAGTCAAAATGTACCCATAGCAATGGCAAGCAAAATCAACTTTTTACTGTGCGCTTTCCTGACACTGGAAAAGCGAATCTCTTGAATTTTTAATGACTTGCTGATTTGGTCCTATGGGTGATGTATTTTGTATGTGTACGCATAGAAAATCTTTGTCCCATTCCCTGCCCCGAAGACGTCCGGCAAGTCCAAGGATTCTTATTCAACATGCTTCCCCTGAAGATGACAGGTACCCTTTTGTGGACCATTCTCACCCAATTGCTTCTTGTTGGAGCTTGACTTGTGCCTTAAAATCTCACGCCATTATGACCCAAACACTAAAGTTTGCCAAGTTACTTTCTTTTTCTTTTCCTTTCTTTCTTTCTTTTTTTCTTTTCTTTTTTTTACAGTAGTTTTAGTAAGAAACACATTTTTGTCAAACCCAGTGGAAATATTCTTGGCTTAGTTGGGTCCTATTGGGTTGAGGCAAATGCCAAGCTCTTTTTGCCAGATTGTTATATTTCTATGAATGACTAGTAGTGATTTTACAATTTAACCTTTTCAACTTTCCAATTCGTCAGCTCTCCGCAAGTTTGGCAAGTGACTTTATCTTGTATCATATAAAACAAGTGTAATTAAACAAATTTTAGTACAAAATATAGCACAAACTAGCCTAAACTCAGTACATGGGGTAATAACTACCCTGACTTTGTCCTAATGATGCAATAAATAACAAATGCCAACTGATTAGTGAGCTTTAGAGGTTTGGATAAGGTTTAGATCCTTAGTAAAGGGGAAGTCTGGACATGACTTTATCTACTTCCAAAATCAAAAAGAGGAAAAAGTCTAAAGATTTGGCAACACTTGTAGTACAACTTCATTGCTAGACCAATAGGTTTTGGCTTTCAAATTTCATGAGGTCATCATAAATCAATTACAAAAGATATTTTAGATAACATTTATGAAAATATATGACCAGCTTTGGTTGGACTTTGCCAGACTAGCTTTTTCGTTAATCTAAGACTGCATGCTAGGCTACGCTAACACCTTCTAGTTGTAGTTGCACATCAAGCAGACAAGAATATATACAAGAAATATAGGTTTATTGCTATTGACTTACCTTTTACTTAGACTGCATTTTTATTTCGACAAATACAAGATAAAATCACAATCTATTATCACTTTTGGCAATTTAGCCTTCTGCTGCAAACTTTAGTAATAGATGAGCTGATCTCAGTGAGAGTGAATACGATCTACAAAGTAGAACTTGTCCCAATGAAAAAAAAGTCCTCTAGGCATATACAAGTTAGATTTTTTTTCTTTAACTTTGTCGCTCACATTGTGTAAAGGGTTATTTGTGTGGCTTTTAGTGTGTGGGTTGTGTTCTTCTGGCTTGCCCTTTAATGCAAAGAGTGGTAGCAGCAGTTTTTGGTCGTGATTGTTGTTGCTGTATCTTTGTTTAGTTGACTTTCTGTTCTTTGTGATTTTTAGTATCAGGTTTGTGCTCGTTTGAAGTTAAGGTAGTTTGTACTGGCTCTGGTGTGAAATCCTGCCCTTTTGCATTTGCTTCCCGCAGTCTCTCCGAGTTACATTTTTGTTTTAGGAATTTGCATCCGCAGCTTATGTGTGCTTTCCTTCTCCTCTTAGTCTTGAGAAGTCTTTTTTTGAAGGCGTATTGCTCATTAGTGGTATAAAATTCATGCAATCCACAATTCATATCATAAGTGTGATCGTGTATGTGTGTGTGTGTGTGTGTCTCTGTGGGTGTGTTTGTGTTTGTGCGTGGGGCGGTGCATGGATCATCCTTGTCATCTTCATGTCCGTGAATGGAGAATATGGATGCTACTTCCGTCTCAAGAGAGTTTAATTCACCTCAGTACAAAGAAGAGGTACACACACATTTATGAACACACACACACACACACACACACAGGCACACTTACAGATGAAGCATGACTGTATAACACCCCTTATTCCTATCATCATCATACCATCCATCACAGGATTCCACCTATTTCCTGTTTTACAGATCATAAACTTATAAGGCCGCTGACGGCTCCAGACAGAGTCAGGCCCTTCTAAATTGAAATGATTTATCCACCATCACGCTCTCTTCCATCCCCTCATTCACCCATCCATCCATCTTTTTTTGTTCTGTGGTGTATTGTCCTTTTTACTCATCCACCATTCTCCAGGAAGCCTCGGACCCTGGAAACACCTGAAAGCCACACTCTTGGCAGGAAGCTCTTTGACAGTGGCAGGTAAGGCGTGTGCGGCACGCTCAGCGTATTTCAGGTGGCTTGTTTACACACAAAGCTTCTTAGATGCATTCACCAGCTGGGAAGAAGCTGTGTTTTAGTACTTGGTAGCAGATATTAGTTATAAATAGGTCCAAGTATTTTTTGAGGCCCTTAATGCTTAGCCACAGTTAGGCACAACCACTGTGAAAGTTAGCATGGATTTCTAAAATTTCGAAGTCACAATGCTAGCACCTTGGCTGCTACTGTGTTTTGCTGCTAGAGCCAGAAGGTGGCACATTTGCATCATATATATCTGCTAATTAGAGCTAAGTAAGCAGACTAATAAATTAGCATTAATGGACTGTACCAGACAGCAGGTGATCTTATTTGTCATATAATTATACTAAAAATATCCGAAAAAGCACCAATAGGACAAACAAGATGAAGAGAACCAGGTCACTGACACAAATGACACTAGTCCGATTGAGTAAAGTTGCCTGTATCAGCATTTTAATATATGAGAGTCTGTGGAGATTGTAGGACATGCAAGGAACCATTGCAGGAACAGCAGTTTTGACACTTTGATTTTCAGTTTAAGGGGTTGCCACGGTCTAATTTCAAGCACAAGCTAATTAGTGAGTTTAATTTCAGTTATCACTTAGGGTCCTTTTTCATTGGCTGTTTCTGTGTTGTCGTGGTCAGAAAGAGCCTGTAAGTGCACATTGATTTCAGTGGAGATGAATGTATCTGCTGATCTGCAGTGACAGTGTAGTACATCATCGTGCAATAAATGATCGAGATATGGAACATAGTGTCAGTACGTGTTTCCCAAGGGCTCCATGTGGTCCTTGTAAGCATGAAAGATATTCTGATACAAATGTTATGTGTCACACCAGGAATTTATGCTGCTGGTTTTACCACATATGTTTCGTAGGGCTTTATTTTTTAGACAGTGCTATAAAAGTGTTAGATTCTTCCACTGCATGTATACTATAGAGATGCCCCTTTGTTTAGGATACTAAAGACTTTTAGTTAAGTAGTAGGAAAAGTCACTTTTTTATATAATGAATAATTGCTACTATTAGCATCTCCAAAGTGAAAGTGCTAAAATGCTTATAAAAAAGGAAATTAGGTTCTGTGTTTAATATTTTCTTAAACATTGGAGCTGCTGATAATGACATGATAATGTGTAAAAATGCCAGTTATTAACACTGAGTAGAGTACCCAGGGGTCAGGGCTTCATTGTTCACATGGAAATATGCAGTGAATCAAAGCCTTAATTGCGCAGCCAGCTAAACATATTTAAAAAATAATGCAAACACTTTTTCATTATAAGAACATCTGCGTTATACATTGCCCTCTGTAATGTTTATATAGACACCAATCAGCCACAACATTAAAACCACCCTGTAAAATTTTATGACACCTTGGGAGAGATCTGTAGGGACATGGAGTCTGCATGCCTCCACAGTTGTTCTGTTGCACTGGGATGCTGGCATCACATCCTTTGGTTTGCTTCTTTATTACTTCCTGTTGATGCTTTGCCAGATTTGTCAGAGGTCTCTTCCTGTTAAAAGGGAGTTCTTTCTTCTCACAATCACCAAGTGCTTTCTCATAGAGGGTTGTCACCTTACAATATAAACGTATTGTAAACTGTAACAACTGAAATCAGTGTGTTACTTGTTTTGCCTGGTTTTAATGTTGGGACTGAATCTGGTAAAGGACTGAAACTGCTGTGTCTTCCATCCAGATCCATTACTATATTTGGGTCCAGCTGGTCCAGTGTGCAGTCTACTACCATAAACACAAGCTGACATATGCTGGTTAGCGCTATCTGAGGGACATGCAATCACTTGCGACTTCAGGCTGTGAACACAGAAGCATAAAACTATTAATAGTCCTCATTGTGTTTGGAGGCCTGGTTAAAAGTGTAGTGATGCTTCAGTGCAAAACTTTTTCATGCTTTTCTTATGAAGTTTGTATTGTTAAAATGTTAATTAAATTTAAACTAATGTTACTCATAAACGACTCTGTTTAGGTTTGCCTTCATTTAACATCGTTTCTTGTATATTTTATGGATTCTTCCTTTCCCCCCATTTTTCCCATTCCTCAACCTCATTTCTGTCCCTGCATGCTGCTGCTTACACACTGTATTGCTGGGCTCTGGGTTTTTATGGCACTCGTGTCGATGTACACCAGAAACAAGTCCACCTCCATTTAAATGGGCTCCAGGGGAAAGAAAGCCCCACTGTGTCCCCTTGGTAAATGGATTCATCTTAAATCAGCCTTCCTCTAACTCATTTAACCAGAGGCAGAGTCTTGTTTGCTCACTGTAGAGACTCGTGGAGAGGAAAGACACAGGGCTGCTGCTGCTTCTGTCAGCATTTGTATGTGTGTTTGGTGAAATGTCTTTGCTGCATCTCATCAGATGCTGCTGCTGTTTGTGTAGTTGTTGTATATGTGTTGTGTGGACTCTGCAGTCATTGTTTGTATGTGTCATTTCTGAGTGGATGTGGAAATTTTTGGTAAGTGTTCATATCTCAACATTTTAATACTCAGACAATGAATAAGCTTCATTTAACAGTAATTTTATCAATGACCAGGAATATATCTGCTCATGGGTGAGCTAAGGGTGCCTCTGATTTACAAACCCAGTAGAGGTGTGTATTGTATTGATACCAACGCTGGTATTGGTATCAGAACGATACTTTGTTTCTAACCTCTAAATTCAGCACATAGTCCAATAAATTGTGTTAAATGTGTTCAATCATTCCATTTACATTCCAGGTCTCCTAAAATCCAAGTTACAAAACTTAAAAACTTGAAGGTTTCAAGAAGACTTGACACTAGGATGAAACCACAGACTGATCAAGAAAATGTTTAGATTGAGTGAAAGGGAGGCCAATTGTCAAAACAGCCTTTTACTCAGCCAGACTTTTTCGCAATCAGAGACGTCGCCCCCTGCTGGCCATTAGAAATAATGCTGGTTTATAGGCACTCATACATTTGTTTCACTTCTCAGATCCAAAAGCTACAAACCACTTCTTTGCAGTCTATATTCAAATAAAATGACAAAATGTCATGAATAACCCTTGTTATTAGTAGTGCAGTGGAAAGGAGCCCCAAATTTCAAGATTTCTAGTAGGAGAGGGAATATGTGTTATGTGAGAATGGATGGATGTGTACAGTCGTGGTGGGATTTGTGCCTGAAGGCTTTCACTTTCTCAGTGTGTTGTTTCACTGTTTAAATCTTGATTTGCTTCTCTTACTGGCAACAGAGTCCCTCACTGTGAACCCCAAACAAGCCTCACTTTGCTTCACTCTGTGAATATGATGTTTGATCGAAATGTTGCTGCTGCTGTTGTCTTGTTTCCAACGTCGATGTTCCTCCTATAGCTTCTGTCGTCATGTCTTTGTTTTGCAACCTTATGTTAAGTGATACTCGCCTAACGTCAAGAAATGTGAAATTGCAGCAGGTTCATCCAATGTCGAGTACTTGTCAACATTTTGTTCACTGTGTGAATGGGATGACGTGAAGACGTCAAATTCCACCAGCGAATGGCACTCTCGACTGCAAATGTGATGACTTTAATATCGTTTTCCCTTCTTCCCATCTTCACACTTTTCATCCTTCCTTTATATTCACACTTCTTCTCTGCACCATGTCTCCCCTTCCCCTCTCCCTTCTGTTTTCTGCTTTCCGTCATGTTGTTTTGTGTTAGGGGGCACCTCCAAAGTGGTGGGTCTCTTTCCTCCTCGGTGACGTCCTCATCAACTCGCAGAGTGAGGCAACTCCCACAGCTTCCCCCCAAGAGCAGCACTGTAGAACAAGGTACAAAGAAAGGTTGACCCATATAGGGTCATCTTTGTGCAGTGTCCGATTAAGTACTAGTTTTTCGAGTTTCTTTCCTTCACCGTGCAGCCCTGGTAGCAGAGGAGCGTGTCCGTCAGCTCCAGATGAGGGTTCATTCCAATCGGGTCTCAGCTCCAGCCACCTCCAGCCAACAGGACCTTGACCGAGCGCTCAAGAATAAACGAGAGGTAGCCTGACCGTTCGCTTTAAAACAAGCTTGTCTGGAGAGTGGAGGAGGACAATACAGGTTCCAGCCAGACAGAAAGAATGAACCATAATGCTGCTCAAGTGCATCGCAGCGAATTGCATTGACTGTCTGAGAAAGTAATAAATTACAGTACAGTAATGGTGAAGACCACTCCATAAAATGAATCATTTCCAAATGGGCAGCCACTCAAGAACTGAGTTAACGCTTGGAATCTTGAAATGTATAATCCATACCGGCTGCTTTCTCTATTTTTTTTTCCCTTAGAGAAAATAGTTTAATATTGATATTGTGATGTTTAAAAATATGTACATGCCAGTAGTTTAACTTCTTCTTTTTGTCTGTGTGATGCATTACAGAAGGCTAATCAGAAAATAAAGCATGTTTTAATATAGCAGACAGAACAAACACAACATTTAGGTGGAAGGTGATTAGAGCTTGGATGCATCTAAGCATCTAAAAGCATTAGCAGCAGCTGGAGTTCCCAGTGTACAGTAGTCTCGTCCCACCTAACAACTCAGATTGCTGGTTGCCCTGTAATTTGTCATCCTCCTATATGGCAATGCATGAGTGTCTGTCACTGTACTGAACTCAGGCTTGCATGGACTTTAAAAAGATTTAAAAGAGGGGCATGGCTAAGGTGATGTCACCCACTAATCCCAAGTAGCACATCTGACTGGCAAACCAAGGGAGACATATGGTAGCACACAGTAGGTTTGTGCTGCTTTATCACCCCTTTTCACTCTAATGCGTACTATGATTTACGAAACAAGCAGCTTAAAACTAATGATTGAGACCATAAACATGTCAGGAAGTTTCCTGAGGCCATGAAAAATGGAGTGAAATGTGTTCTTTCCCTTTAGCGGTCCACACAAGAAGACTTCTTTATGGAAACCTCAGAGTTGCCCTCTGCTGGTCATTAGAAAGATTGCAGTTCTTCCTCTTCACCCTCACTTTTCAGACCAAAAGATGCATCATGATGCACAGTCTATATGGAGAACACCTGGTTCAAGTTTTAGATTTTTAATAGCTTGTACACCAAATGTAATGTTGTAAAATCCCTTTCTGTAACTAACAGCAATTTTCTATCAATCAGCGTGTTGTGCTATCAGCAAATGGACCAATCAGGATGCAGCAGCAGAGCGCTAGCATTTTATATTCAATTCAATTCAGTTTTATTTACACAGCGCCAAATCACAACAACAGTCGCCTCAAGGCGCTTTATACTGTAAGGTAGAGCCTACAATAATCCATTCAGAGAAAAACCCCAACAATCATATGACCCCCTATGAGCAAGCACTTTGGTGACAGTGGGAAGGAAAAACTCCCTTTTAACAGGAAGAAACCTCCAGCAGAACCAGGCTCAGGGAGGGGCGGGGCCATCTGCCACAACCTGTTGGGGTGAGACAAGGAAGACAGGATAAAGACATGCTGTGGAAGAGAGACAGAGATTAATAACAAGTGTGATTCAGCAGAGAGGTCTATTAACACGTTGCGTGAGAAAGGTGACTGAAAAGGAAATACTCAATGCATCATGGGAATATTGAAAGTAGGCTTCCATATAAGGACATACCAGACATACCATCTTCTTATTGTTATATATTAAATTCATTCATATTGATTGAGTTTGTCAAAACTAAAATAAATGTCAGGTTTATTTTAGGGGTTTTTCCCAGAAGAAAGTGTAAATAATTATTTAAATTTAGCTTCGTCACTTAATCACTGAAGATGATTGCAGGTGATTACAATCCATCTATTGCTCATGTATTGTTACAGCTTTAAACCTGGAGCATGTGATTGGTGTTGAGTCACCATGGCGATGGCTTGAGAATTACTTGCTTCATTTTCACAGCAGTTTTCTAAAATATCTGTTTGATGATGTGTGGTTCATGCAGCTCTATAAGGACCAGAGGAGGAGTAGTGAAAATGTTTCCCACAAGTCCTCAGACAGTGATGTCAGCGACGTCTCAGCCATCTCTCGAACCAGCAGTGCCTCTCGCATCAGTAGCACCAGCTACATGTCCATCCAGTCAGAGAGACCCCGGGGACGCTTCAGGTACACACACACACACACGCGCGCGCGCGCACACACACACACACACACACACACACACACACACA